ATTTTCAGTGGCATATCACTAGCTATGCACCAACAAACAATGTCAAAATTTAGTTCTGATACATACTGTTTCACCACGACCTCACATCAACTGTGGTTGTCACGAGACTTGCTTATTTGCATATTAAAGATATTCATACACTCAGATCATAAAGATATGTTCTAGTCAGGTACTTAGAATTTTCGAGATTGGAATATCCCTTGTGCTTAAAGGCATTAGAAACAAAGGAATATGGATCAACTTCAAAATGAAGGACCACCCAGAAAGAGACTTACAACAAATCGTACCTATCATCTTATAACAAGTGAGAATCTATGAAGATGAAGGTCAGTGGCAAAAGTCATCCACATGACCCAGGCAGCAATGCACATCATAAAAGAGAAAGATCTCCATTTGGAAAATAAACACAAGTTGTACACGAGTTGCTTCCATGACATATCAGCTCAACCATCACATAACTCAAGCAGTTGTAGGCAAAAATGTGTATCTATGTTATTCTATATGAAAGCGATTCGGTCAAGTCACCTGATGCAGCCACTGTGGACTTCTTTACAAAAGAACTTTTGCAATAAACTCTGTGGAACCATCATCACTGTACAATGTAATAGATGAATTATAGAAACCCTACAAGGGGGTACGATGCACTTTGGACATGGTAACCTTATGATAGAGCCTTTTGCAATGGAAACTATGCTATAGGGTTTTTGTCAATACGTACAGTCGTCAGATAGAACATGACTGGACGTGGTGATATGGACTGTAATGGCGACTTGATGAGGCTCCAATATCGTTTCAATATAACGTACTCAACCTATTTACATTATCCCTCAGTATCTGGCGGCTTCATAGAGATACGATAATTAACTAGATATTGTTTTGTGATAAGGTTTGAAGGGTACATAGATGATAAGATAAACCCTTTCATTACAGTTTCATTATTAAACTTTCAACAAAAAAGCCAATAATGACGTGAGGAAAGGTAACTACTAATTCTGTAAGAGAATCAATGTAGGTGTGTGAGAAAATTCCACTACTAGAGCCACATGAAAACTAATATAGACACGTGAGGCAAGTAAGGGAACGTCAAAGCTACAAAAAATATTGTTAAAGCTAGATGGCAGCCACTACAGATACGTGAGGAAAGGTTGCTGCTAGAGCTAAAATAGAATCAAAGTAGTATTGTGAGGTAAGGTCACTGCAAGAGTTACAAAACTATGAATACAAGCATATAAAGAAACTCACTCCTAGAGTAGCAAAAGGCCAAAGCAAAGTTCACAGCTCAATCTACAAGAGGACTAAACAGGCACAAGAAGAAAGCTCACTACATGATGAATACAGGCACGTGAAGAAACTCACTTCTAGAGCTATAGACTACGTTATTTCGTGGAAGACTAGTGACAAGTAGAATGATATACTATATTGTTACGTGGAAGACTAGTGACAAGTAGAATGATATACTACATTGTTACGTGGAAGAGTAGCGACAAGTGGATTAATAGACTACGTTATTTCGTGGAAAACTAGTGACAAGTAGAATGATATACTATATTGTTACGTGGAAGACTAGTGACAAGTAGAATGATATACTATATTGTTACCTGGAAGACTAGTGACAAGTAGGTATACTATATTGTTATCTCTTCGTGCAATAAATC